TATATAAAGTCAATACTGCAAGTAATATCCACATCAGAAATCAGTTGAGCTGTTTTAACAAATGATAATTAATTCCTTTACAGCACTTGACTTTAAAGTGACACTATTTTTGCTATATTTAATACAATAAAAGTATAATTACTTTAGAGACATTTGCCATAATTTCAATGAAAAATTGTTTATGTTTAGGACTGAAAATTAGTAATAAAAATGTCATTTTTAGGTGTTTGGTTACATTACTGATAATATCTAGTTAAATCCCAGCTTGTTTGTTTTTGTACAGTGTTCGAATATAGAAATGAGCTGTGACCTTGTATGTTCACTGCTGCTGTGTACAGAAACTGTAATCTACTGCTTCATCCACAGGTGGGCAGTGTGTGTCTGTGCAATATCTAGTAGGAAGTCAACAAACACTGTCACGTTAGATCAGTGACTTTCATTTGAGCGTTTTAATGCACGTTGTCACAAACAAAAACTACTCAAACTAATTCATTGCTAAAGTTAAGACTGTGCCTAAAAGAATAGTGATGTTTAAACTCTTTAAAAAAAAAAAAAACAGTGATACTGTTATTGAATCGTGTCATTGTGGTTTGACCCTTTACTTCCTCTTTTTGTTTGCTTATCTTTATTTGTATCAATTCATTTTAACTTTTCACAGGAGGAACTAAGTTATACAATAGTTTGGACACTTCAAATACAATTCTAATATTTTTGGAGGCAACATATTCTTCTCAGTAATTTGATAAAGATTGAGTTCCTCTGACAAGAGAATTTCAGTCATTATTTAAGCTGAGTCTCATTTTGCAAAGACAAAGCAGAGAAAACATCATGTTTGCAGGTGATAATGGCAGTTTGTGGAGACAGAAAAGAAAAGGGCCCAAGAATGAACCATGGGGAACACCACGAGAACCAGTTTTCTGGACAGGAATCTAAAATAATAACAAGAATATAATCAGGAATATCTGAGCTCCTGCAATGGCTCTGACCTTAAATAAATATCTAACAATTTAAAAAACAATAATAATAATAATAATAACTAAAAAACTATGTTTAAACTCATGTTTAACACATTTAATATGTTCACTTAGCTACAAATAAAATTGTTTCCTTCTCATTTTTTAATTTAAATCTAAGGCAGCTGTCACAAAGACTTAATGATGTGCAAATTATTTAACTGAAATAATTTTCTATCAATGTTTATCTCCACAATACACACCGTCAGGGACATAATCCTGGAGATTTAATGTTTGTTTTTGGGCTTAAACAGTTATACTTAAGAATATCGCTTGGAAACCTCATTAGAAGTCATTAAAACTGCCAAGCAAAAGTGTTTTCTGCATCACTTTGCTGTATTTTGTAAATCACTGAGAATAAATAAAGGTTGAATGAATGAATTAATGATTAAATGGAAAGTGTGTTGAGCTGTCTCTGTGTTTTAAAGCCTTAAATTAGCTGAAAACTTTACTTGCTGTTATTGACAATGTTGAATGATTTCTCTAAGGCATCTTCCGGTCTTTTGGGTGGTCCTCTGGTTCTCCCAGTTCTCCGTGTTTTTGCAGTTCCATCCTTCAGCCTGTGTCCTCCTGGTGGGCCTGGTTCGTCTCCATGCCGACAGGTGTATGGACCACAATGTCCAGCTGGTGGCTGAAATATCAACAAGAAACGTGTCGATCGAGCTAATCTGAAGAGTTGAGGCCGTCAGTACCGACAGTGACCTGGAGGGTGCGATAGACATCGGCCATCACCAGGTGGAGAGGACCACCTCCGTCTTCTGTCCTCTCAATGTGGAGGTGGTAGCATCCTGCGCTACCATGGTAACATTGTGGATTTTGTCCAGGGCGCAAGACATCAGGCTTAACTGCTCTGTGCGAGACATCTTTACAAAAAGCTGTGTGTCCTGCTGCAGGTGTGAATGTGTCTCCAGTATCTGTGCTGGTGTGAATGTGTCTCCAGTGTCCCTGCAGGTGTGAATGTGTCTCCAGTGTCCTGCTGCAGGTGGGAATGTGTCTCCAGTGTCTTTGCAGGTGTGAATGTGTCTCCAGTGTCTTTGCAGGTGTGAATGTGTCTCCAGTGTCTGTGCAGGTGTGAATGTGTTTCCAGTGTCCCTGCAGGTGTGAATGTGTCTCCAGTGTCCCTGCAGGTGTGAATGTGTCTCCAGTGTCCCTTCAGGTGTGAATGTGTCTCCAGTGTCTTTGCAGGTGTGAATGTGTATTTTACTGCAAGTGTGAATGTGTCCCTTGTGTCTTACTGCAGGGATTTTGAAGGACTTTGACCAGGAAGCATTTAA